AACTTCAATTCATCATTTAATAAAAAGCCACTCAACATGATCTCAAACTCCTTTACAAATTGTAAATAATCAGCCGGGTTTCCATCAAAACACCGTGGTTCAAATTTAGGGAGTTTGATGTTCCTATTATCCCTGAACGGCGAAACAGTAACATCAACCATGTCATGCTTAACATCAGACACATCGTTACAATTAACAGACAAGTCACCATGACTTACTTTCCTGTTTGCATCCAAGACACTCTGTCCCTTCTTTGACCCAGGCATTGTTGAACTTGACCCAATTCCAAAAACGTTCCAGATATTGCTTGTTCAAAGAGGACTTGACCGGCACCAGGAAAGATGAACGGTGACTATCCAAACTTTCACCAACTGTTTGAATCCGCCAGATCTGTTTCCATCGTCAGAAACTGTCAATCACGTCTCATAAACCGTTAATGCCCAGCTCTCGCTACGCTCGGGCCCACGCTGTTCCTTGAAGATTTCAGAAACGCTTAGTTATAACGGACGAAAAAACCAAAACACCGATCTGCCGCTTGATATTTCTTTATTGTTACACCAACATATAAAAAGAATAAGTGAACTAAGGTCTGAAAACAAATATTACAATAATAAATCACTGTATTACTTCTGACGATGTTTCACTCTTCTTTCTGAACAGCGACCGATGAGACGATGACTGTCGTATTGATGCCTCCGCGAAAATTGGGGAAGTTGATTTTGAGCAAACAACCAAGAATTGATCGTTCAATCTTCAACTCCATTGACACTCCCCGGCAAAAAAGGGATCCAACCCTTTTTTCCTTCACGACCAATGCACGTTGACTTGGATGCCATTGCGAGAACCTGGGTCACACGGACAGAGCTGAAATGGAAAACAAACAGAAAAGCCAACACACCACAAGCATACCCACAGCACAATCTCACACATCGATGACGACCTGCGCCTCCAGACAGAGACCTCCTCTTGACATCTTGCAACACAATCGCCACTTGCTAGAATGACTCTTGCAGAATGCAATGTGACCATAGCACCACCTCACGATACTCTACGCACATCCTCTTATCTACTCACTACCAATTACCACTGAAATCGCTTGTCACTCATTCTGCCTCAGTTCTAGTAGCGGTGACGCATGCGAGCCTCAGTCGTTTACACTCTTTCTCCCCGGCGTGTCGGACCGCAGCTAACAATTATCTCCGTGTGCATTTCATTCTCAGCAATAGCCTCCCCGGCGTATACGACCCATCTGCTGTCCTTAACATCAATCAATTCATTCATGGATGTAGAAGACTCGAAACAACTTCAGAAGTAATCACGACGAAAATTTTAACAAAATTACGCAATAACAACAAGATACGAAAACAACAAGTAAACACAATGAATCCAAAAACACCAATTGATATGACACACCACACGTATATACAAACAGTACAAACAACCTCGCCGATCATGTCTTGGTGGAATTCCTTTGAAGAATTGCAGGACTTACACCAGTACGCCTACAACCCTTCTCAGGTTGACGATTGTAATTTGTGGAATGTACGGACACAAACAAGATTAACCAACAATTACATCAATTGGAACTCACACAATTATTTAACACAAACATATGTACAATCAACACATCAAATGTTGTGGATTCTGGCACGGCAAACTACCCTTGAAGAACTGTAGGACTTACAGCAGTACGCCTACATTCCTTCTCAGGTTGATGATCCAAGTGGAAGTCGTCCGGACACAAACAGAATTACCAACAGCTAGATGACAGATGATATCAATTCAGTATATACAATATGAACATATGTACAAAATCACACACCAAGCACATTGGACTGCTCATTGATGCGCTACCCTTTGAAGAATTGTAGGACTTACAGCAGTACGCCTACAACCCTTCTCAGGTTGACGCTCTAGGTTGGAAAATCGTCGCAGAGTTCATTTGCTGACTTCCTTCTTTCAGCTATATCCTCAAATCTGAACGGCAACACGCCCATGTCATTGTATCGTAGAATATAGATGACTAACAAACACACGACATATCTCATCAACCAAGTATAGAAACAGAGTAATTTACACCAAAGATAATAACATTCAAATAGTAACTTGAAACTAGAAATGCCTTTATTCGTGCAAGTCAATTTAACAATTACTCTCTCGTTTACACTTGGCTTATCCTCACTAAACTGACCATTGATATTCGTCCTTTCAAACGAACTGATACTACCATAGTCATTGCACAAGATACTTGAGTTGATGGGTGTCTGTTTCATTGTGGATGACAACACCAACGACGACTGATTGATATCAGTTGATGAACTTAGCAGTGGATCAGAAGCTGTTGTTGCTCGACTTTCAGAAATTTGTCTACCTGCAAGACCACCACCACTGCTGTTTTTCACCACTATTTCGGGTTTAGCACTATCATCTGATGATAGGTGGGCTACACGCTGATCAATTACACTGACGGTTTGACAAGTATGCATGCCTTCTGCAACTGCATTTAATTCTACTTCACGTTCAAGTTGTACAGAACCTTTATTTAACTTAGCAGTAGTAGGCATTCCCCTCATTTCATCATGATCAACCAAAGACAAATCTGCACTATCATGATCATTATCACAAATATTCAATTTACCGTCGACTTCATCATTTTCAAACTCTTTAATAACAGAAGTAGACAATTTTGGTTCCTCCTCACAAATCCTTAAAGGTTTTATATCTTCACTCTGACTAGTTATACCTTGTAAACTTTTGGAGTCAGAACTGCACCCTGAAGCAGTAACTCTATTCTGTGACACTCTATTCAACAATGGCTTACCAGTTGCAACTACAGACTTCTTCACAACACCGTTATCGTCACACAATTCGGAGTCAGACCTGGAGTTTACATTTAGCTTATCACTGAACTTGCTCACTGGTTCACAGTTCACTTCTGTATGCACTTCTTGCAAACGTTTGAAACACAACCGTGTTTGTCTTGCATCTTGTAACTTATCTGTTGAGCATGTACTACGAAACCTGTTGCACTCGCTAAGTTTATATGCATTACTAGACATCATGGAGCCTTCTCGATATCCACCTCTCTGAGGCCTACTCGTCATCAATGATTGCGTTTTACCCTCAGACTGCTCTATTCTAGGGGTGAGATTCAATATACTGGCAAACTTGCTCATAGATTGATTGGCACTATTATTTACCAGTTTCAGGATATCATCAAACTTTGGCTCGATACCCTCATCCTCCATACGGGAGCTTATCTTCACCCACTTCCTTTGCAGTCGAGTAGGTAGGCGTCTTGCTATTACTTCTAGTATAAAACTCGAGTTGAGGTCATTCATGCGATTCATCGAAATCAAGGTATTCTTATAAGTCATAAGATTATCCAAAAACTCAGTGAGTGCCTGGGAGTCATCCTGTAATTGACCACCATTACCCTTAACAGCCTCGAATAATTTCCCTACAATCATCGTAGGTCTTCCAAACCTTCGACGTAGTATTCTCATAGCCTCGTAGTAGCCCTCTTTCGGCTTCATAATCTTACAGCACTGTATAGCTCTCGCAGCATCTCCAGTGCAATATCTCATCAAATACATTAACTTCGATTCATCATTTAATAAAAAGCCACTCAACATGATCTCAAACTCCTTTGCAAATTGTAAATAATCAGCCGGGTTTCCGTCGAAACATCATGGTTCAAATTTAGGAAGTCTAATGTTCATATTATCCCTGAACGGCGAAACAGTAACATCAACCATGTCATGCTTAACATCAGACACATCGTTACAATTAACAGACAAGTCACCATGACTTACTTTCCTGTTTGCATCCAAGACACTCTGTCCCTTCTTTGACCCAGGCATTGTTGAACTTGACCCAATTCCAAAAACGTTCCAGATATTGCTTGCTCAAAGAGGACTTGACCGGCACCAGGAAAGATGAATGGTGACTATCCAAACTGTCACCAACTGTTTGAATCCGCCAGATCTGTTTCCATCGTCAGAAACTGTCAGCCACGTCTCGTAAACCGTTAATGCCCAGGTCTCGCTACGCTCGGGCCCACGCTGTTCCTTGAAGATTTCAGAAACGCTTAGTTATAACGGACGAAAAAACCAAAACACCGATCTGCCGCTTGATATTTCTTTATTGTTACACCAACATATAAAAAGAATAAGTGAACTAAGGTCTGAAAACAAATATTACAATAATAATTCACTGTATTACTTCTGACGATGTTTCACTCTTCTTTCTGAACAGCGACCGATGAGACGATGACTGTCGTATTGATGCCTCCGCGAAAATTGGGGAAGTTGATTTTGAGCAAACAACCATGAATTGATCGTTCAATCTTCAACTCCATTGATAGGTGTCCTGCCATTGCGTAGGCATAGACATGCTCTTGGAAATCCCAGAAGGACAGCTCACCGGGTGGGCGCTCGCATTTCTTTTTACTGAGTGTTTGCCGTCCATGATACTGACTACCGACAGATGTTGCTGCGGCACCGTCTGTGGACACCTTTAAGCGAGGGTTGGACAATCATGCAGTGACAGAATGACTGTATCCAAATGGCCCACCCTCTTAAAATCCTATACACCAATAACGGGTAGTCATCTTAACTCATTGTTTTACTTTTCTACATTCCCTCCTGACCACTCCAGCTACTTCACCTACACTTATTATTATTGGTATTATATGCATATATATTTATATGTGTATATATATTTCAACTTTAAACTCACATAGAAATGCACGCATTACATCAGTCCGCAGCCTTCCAGTGAGTTTTGTGATGCATGTAACTCCAGCTGACATGCAGTAGCCTAAGAGGATGGTCATGTGCATGAAACTTAGAATTAGGGAGTAGAGTAATGCTGATACTTTGGTCAGTTGATCGATAAGAAACAGGTTAAATCTGTGGCAATATTAGATTATTCCACCACGGCATTGAATTGTGATGTTCACAATTTCACGAAATGCCTACTAGGATGACCTACCTTCTCCCCCACTCTCTGAAGAGTAGGTGGATATGAAAGCCGGGGGTGAACTATACCACAAGTTGATATATGTTAGCTCGTGAAAACATTACCGATATTGGATATTGGAATTGATTATGAGTACCAACTGTCAGAAGAATTTTCTGAGCATTCACTCAGTGTTATCAAGAGGGGAATTGAGATCCAAAAGTGTCTGTTGATATGGCAGTGAAACAGACTCAGAATCTTACATCTACGATTGATAATCCTAAAACTGTATTGTATATGTCGGATTCGTCCTTCAAAGTCAGCGGGTATTTCGTAAATGTAGGTCATTCTGGGCTTATCCTCATAAAATTTGAAACCAAACTGTCAATGAATAAGCGTACAAACTAAATCCCCACGACCTATTCTGCCTTCTCTCACTCTGTCTTTTCCTTATGTCACCTTTATTATTCCACTTATCTCAACCTATATTATCTACACTACAACCTATTATTATTATTATTACTATTCTGCTTTTATGACTACACCGAATGACCAAGGGGAGTTAGGTCAAACTCCATTCACGGCAGCAATACAGTCCTAACATACTGCATACTACAAACCACATCTCGACCAATCCCCGCACCACTCCTCCTGGAGTCTACCAGAGCTAAAGCAGTCGAGTGTCGGGACTTACTACGCAGAAGCTCACCGAAGATCTGGAACCTCTACCTCACAATCAAGAAGCGAGCTCAAAGAAATCACTGGTTTATACTAGCTCGTCATCAGGATATTGGATATTGGATATTGGATGTTTTTTAAGTGAACTAATAGATTAGCAACTTTCTGGTCTGTTTTGGCATAGTTTATAGTCTGAATATTGTGAAGAGTGAATAAAAGGTAGTGGGTTGGGTTTTTCATCCAAAGATCATGGTTATTTCATCGACCAGAAATAGGGTTAGGAAAATATTTGGACATAAGCGTTGCAGTGTGCTACTGAATGTCATCTAATCAACAGCAAATGTAGAGCATATACTGCTCTAAAAGACTAAATGCTATGGTACATTGTAACTTTATCAGTTGGCGTCATCTGTCAGTGATAGATGTGATTTCAGACAATTTGTCAGACTTATTGAATCAATTACATGTGTTTGTTGCTTAGGGAGACTTTATTTCGTTCCTGGTGTGTTTACTGAACCGATATACAAACAGTTTCGTCTCTTCCCTACCAATTAATTGCTTCTTGGCTAATATGCTAACTAAGTAAACAACTTTAGGGCATTTTAAATGTTTGGAGAGAAATGCATCAAAATATCACCCGTCTCTCAGAAGCCCCACTCTTATCAAAAGGTCTTAATGCTCGAAATAGATCCGTAATAACTTTGCTTATTACGATTTAGATCACAGTGGCTTTGACTCGATGAAGTACTGCTAGTTTCAACGAGGTATTGGATATATGCTGTCCTGAGAAGTACGATCCCATTATGTCTGGTAATCTTACAGGATAAGGGCAGTATTGCTTTTCAATTGTTGGTTGGCAGAAATTTGCGTGGTTATAGGTTTGTCCACGACGTGACATTGGATAAAAAACCACTAAACAGTCAGGGAGTACTGTATAACCACTTTGTCGTAATTTAAGACTCTCCATCAATGGGCACCCACCGGGGTTCGATCCTGTGGCCCTCTGGTTACCAGGTGAGCTTCCTGACCATTCAGGGGCTGAGACTCGACCCAATAGCTGAACTTCGCGATATATGGTGCTTCCATCAGCCAATATCATCACCGAGTGACTGTTCACTTACTTGATTTAGTGGACATAGCTGGTCACTGCATCTCACTCGAACTCTAGGTAAATTCATGTAGAGAGGCAGTCACTAGTGAATATCAGATTAATTTCCAAATGTGATGTCCAATATCCAATATCGTTTTTACGAGCTAGTATAAACCAATTTGATTTGTTTGTGCTCGCTTCTTGATTGTAAGGTATAGGTTCCTGATCTTCGGTAAACTTCTGCGTAGCTTGTCCCGCCACTCAACTGTCGTAGCTTTGGTTGACTCCAAAGGGAGTAGTGCTGGGATTAATTATATGTGGTTTGTAGTATGAGGTATGTTAAGACTGTTACTACAGTGATTGGAGTTGATCCTTTCGCCAGTTTGTCCTTCGGTATCGTCGACAAGAGAAAAGAGATAGTAATAATAATAATAGTAATAAAGATAATAATAGATATAATTAGTGAAGTTATTCAGACTAAGAGACAGAAACGGAAATAGGAAAGCGTAACAACAGTCAGCTCATTAAGTTTGAAGAATAATATATATATATATATATATATATATATATATATATCGGTAATAATAATGATATTAATATTATAATTACTATTATTATTATTAAGTTGTCAGGAGAGTAAGACGGGAGAGAATGTAAAGAAGTAAAACGACGAGTTTAATTGTCTACCCCTGAATGGTGTATGCGATTTTAAGGAGATAGGCCATTTGGATGTAGTCCTTGTATCGCTGCACCGTTGTCCAGCCTTCGCTTAAAGGCATCCAAAGACGGTGCCATAGCTACATCTGCCGGCAAGGAATTCCAGGGATGGCAAACCCGCAGTGAAAAGAAGTGGGAGCGCACCGGGCCCTTGCCCTCTGGTGAGCTATCCTTCTGGGATTTCCACGTGGGGGCCTATACCTACTCAATGGCAGAACACCTTTGTTTGGGTGATTCTGGTCATTTGTTATTTTGTAGGCAGTAATCATATCCCTCCTAAGCCGACGGTAGCTAAGTGTGAACAGGCCTAATTTCTTCAGCCTTTCATCATATGGTTTGTTTCGGAGACCAACCACTCCTTTTGTTGCCCGTCGTTGGACTCTTTCCGAGAGGTTGGCGTCTCTTCTCAGCATTGGAGGTGCAATAATATTATGCACCTCAAGGTGTGGCCTGAAAGCATACAAGTTTTATTATATTTTTAAAACTCAGTATTTTTGTTTTCTTACTGGAATATTTTTATTTGTACCATTTTTGTTATACTTTATTTTACAGATTATCTCTCTGCATCAGAAAACTTGAAGTATTACTTCTCTTATTTTGTTTATTGAACATCTTACAAGATTGGCATATACACACTGGATTTTCCGCTTATGTCGTTAGATCCTCCAATTGAAAATCTTCTTAAATGGGTACATTTCGAATTATCAATTTTTAAACTATCTCTATAGTTGAGAACGTTTAATACAGCGGCAAGTGTTCACTCCGTACATGATATCTCGGATGGTATTGTCTTGGCTAAAGTTCTACATTCCATGTGAGTAGTTTTTCATTTATAATTGATTCATTAAACATGTCCATTGAAAATTCGAGTTGACATCAGTTAGAGCACCATTGGAAAACCAGCTGGGAGTACTGGACAGCTGTTTCATCAGCCTAGTTTGGGACTCTTCATCAGTACGCACCCACTGGGGTTCGAACCCACGACCTTCTGGTTACAAGGCCAGGGAGCTCGTAGACCACTAAGCCTCTGGGACCCCCGATCTAGTGACCAGTTCATGAATTCCATGTTCTGTCAATTCACGACATAGGGTGACCACTTCGCAATGTCTTCTTCGTCGATGAGTTACTGCCTCACCTTCAATCTGCTGCGCCCTACTGGTCACGGCCTCCCACTAGAACCCCAGGTGACTACCTGCCTACCTGAATAGGGATAGTCGCTAGTGAGCATCAGATGAATTTTCAAGTATTGGGTTTTTGTAAGTTCTTTAAATAACATCGATTTATTACTAAGGTAAGGAGGTAACAGTTCAGAAGCATATATATGTGTGCTAATCACGGTTAACGAAAGCATTCGTATATGCTATAATTACACCCTATATGCATTAAAAATACACTTCCATCAAAACACGTGACGTGACTAATACTCATTCAGAACACTGTTTAATCAGCACGAAGTCAGGGTGAAACTACATATATCATTTTAAACAAACAAAATTACTTAGTAGATGAAGTCATGAAATGACACTGGATTAGCATAGTTGGACATGTTGAACACAAATCTACTTGAATTCATCAATCAATACGTCAAATATTGTCTATCAGATTAAGAAACTATAAAAATAAAAAGCCAAAATCAATTTATAAATCCACTTACTGTCAGTATAGAACAAATTAAGAGTATCAAGTCTCTGTCTGTCTGTTTTTGACATAGAACTCTGCACCGATGTGCAGCAGTTCAAGTCGCCACACTCCCTCCTTGTAGTACACAAAGCACGAGAAGAAATGCATAATAGTGACAGTTAACACAGGTGTGAGACAAAGGAATAGTAATAACGAAGAACAATATGGTTTCATTGGAAATCATAAGTCACGAGGAGTGGATGCATCTGCACCAGCCATTGAGAACGATGAGTTTGAGCCATATCACCAATTGTTTCCAGCCATTAGTTTTTACCGTCCTGAGGACCCCAACCAGTCAGGAAGTCTACACTTTTTTTACGTGGATTTCATTGATTGGTGCCATGTTTTGGTTTGACCACCACTCGCTTTTTTCCAGCCTGACCTTATGTCAGCTAACATTGCCCATCGTTGAGAAAGGCGATGACCAGGCATACGTAACACATGCCTCACTCTCAGTTTGCTCTCTTTGTAAACCTTGCAACCGGCTAGGCGTGCACCGACCGGGAGTCGGATTGCAGACTACGTACATCGTAGGCGAGCAGTCTACTGGTGGACCACTGACGCACACTGTAAACCATATACTGTGTTCTGGTTGATTAGACCGAAATTTTCGGTGTCTGTGGACATATCGGCTCGTATTACGGGGGCTTCAACGAACTCTAAGAATGAACTTGAAGTAATTTGGTAAATGATGACCAGCAGTGGAATCCAGGATGCACAGTTTGTCCTATTCGGGACTCATCATCTGGATGTGTGTACCTGCATTCTCCAGTGAGTGGGCGGAGTTTTTCCCACGGAGAATTGAATCTAGTATCCATGGTTCCAGACGCGAAATCGTTATTGTAGTGGCTCATTTAGTTTGGTGAGAACGATGGATACTGGGTTCTAGTCTCAGCGGGAACACCTTCGCCGACTCACTGGGGAATGTACGTACATCTGATTGACGAGTCCCAAATAGGATGAGATGAGCATCCGCCAAGTTACTTCATTTTATTTCATAATTTTCGGCAAATTCCATTAGTGTTATCTTATATATATTAGTATATAGTTGCAAGACAACTGCTAAACGTCCTAGAGATAAAGAGACCTGTGAACTTGCATCGATATGCTACTGTACAAAGTTTTATGCTTGTTTTTCTGCTTGTGCTTTCTTTTCACCCAGCTTAACAATATTTATTAATTAGTTTTGATGATTTTTATTCCCACTGGGGTCTGAGTGGAACATAGAACTTTAGCAGGACGTCTTTATTAGATGGCTCTAAGACTGCCAATAAGCTTTCCTTTCTTGTACATATGATCTTCTCTATATAGACCCTCGGATGCCCAATTTGTCCTTTCCTACTCGGGTCCCACTTGAGGGTCTGTCTGATGTGACTCCACTCAACGATCTTCCCTGCCGTATGTCCCTGCCAATCTCCATATCCCGTAGTATATCTGTCTTTCTGGATTCAACATAGAACTTGGCACCGAAGTGCACCAGTTCTAGTTGCCACGTTCCAAATACCACTCAAAGGTAGACAAGGAGATGAATGGAGAGAATGAATAGAGTTTCACAAGTATAAGAGGGAAACAGAATGAGTAATGGTAGAAAGGAATATGAAAGATTACAGAGACTGAATACATCTGCGCTGGCCATTGACAACGATTTTGAGCCATGTCACCTATTGTCTCCAGCCATTGATTCCTAGAGTCCCGAGGGCCCCAACCCGGAAGTCTGCATCTCCCTACCTGACTCAGTTTAACTGTCAAGGATTTCATGGATTGATGAGGCCATGTTTTTGTTTGGCCACCACTTACTCTTTTCCAACCTGCAACTATGTCAGCTAGCAATGCCCGTCGTCGGGGAAGGCGATGGTTAGGCATGCGCAGCACCTGACCTAGCCATCTCAATCTATGTAACTTTATAGCCTCGTCGATTGATTTTCACTCTTTGCCCAACACTCTACGCCTAACGTCAACATTACTTACCTTATTATATCACCTAACGTGAGAAAGAGATCGTAGACATCTGTGATCAAAAACAGTCAATCTTTTCATGTCTTCAACTCGTATTGGCCATGTTTCAGAGCCATAGAGAAGGACGGAGTGAGCTGATGAGCAGTACACACGTCCCTTGGTTGATAGCCGGATGTCACGCCTACACCAAAGATGGTTTAAGTTGACGAAAGCAGCTCGAGCTTTCTGGATCCGTGCTGAGATTTCGTCGCCAATCAGTCCGTTGGTGCTGTTACAACTTCCCAAATAGGTGAAGCGGTCAACATGTTCTATCACTTCATCCCCTATCACTAAGCTAGGATTTGATGTAGTCCAGTCCTGTAGGTCCTTGATTGGTTCGTTGTCAAAGTCCCCTGTCTCTTATCCTTTCTGGCCAGCCATCTGATCTCTATTGTCAAGCCAGCAAAGGCAGCTGGTGATAAAAGTCTACAGCCTATTGGGAATGATATCGGTGACGCATGCATCAATATAGAAGCTCTGATTTGACATTAATGCTCAAGATGCTATAGGTTTCCTTAGCTGATATCCTTTCAGGATTTTGAAAAAGGTTGTCACTTGACAGTCATGTGCATGTCGATACATTTAGAAGTCAGTCGAATATTTTCATGAGTGTAAGAGTTAACTAGACCACATCATTAATAATAATAATAATCTTTTTTATTCCGAAAACAGTACTTATAATACAGAATGGAATTCTCAGCCTTTTTCACAATATTGCATATGATTTACTTAAAATATACAGAAAATTAAAAATTAAAACAAAATTAACCAGAGGAATTTCTCCACACTTATGATATAAAGTCAAAAATATTTGAAGCACGAGTTGAGAATAATAAATGTAATCATAATGATAATAATGACAGTGAGTTTATTTCAAACGGTATTGTCAATTCAGTTTGGAAATTTTAGCATGTTATAGGTTATTGGATCTAATGTTCTGTTGATATATTATAGTGAGGGGAAATACAAGATTAACGGTGGTAACACAGCTTAAATTATGTTCAAACTTATGAAAAGTAAATAAATAAATAAAAACAAAAATTGAGGGGATTATAAATATAAGAAATACAATAACAATAAAGATTGATGTTGTAAAGATGGAGGAAATGGTTTATTTAGTAGTGCAAAGAAGGTTAGTTAGTTCTTGTGTAACACTCTTTTCATCACATAATGTACGTGTCGCCAAATATGGTGTCGTGGAATTTTTATACTTAGACGTACGTGCATAAAGTCTTCTGAAGAGACTTCTTGTTTTACCTGAGGAGACAAAAGGTTGGAGCTACGGGTAGAGCGGGTGCTCACAGTCTGACAAAATCCCTTTAGCGAATTTGTTGCATGACATCAAGTGCCTATCAGTGACAATGTCAACGATATTGCCCAATGGGATACCACTTGCCCTACTGGCCGACAGTTTTCAGAGTTCTACGAAGTATGACATAGTCTTTTTTAAGCAATCCAGGAAAGAATGGGGGTGAAGAATAGAGAAGAATAGTTAAAATACACGAGTTGACAAACTGTGAGAGGAGGAGTGGTTGGGTTATGCCTGAGTGCCTTAACTTTTTAATGTAAAAAGTCAGACGAAATATTCTTTTAGAAATCGCTAAGATATGGGAAGACCAGGAAAGATCAGAAGGAAGAATTAATCCAAGATACTTAACGACAGACTTGATTTCTATATCATTATCATCAATTTTGCAAGGGTCATAGGAACCAACGGCTTAGTCATTTAACTTTTGTTTACATCGGAAAATGAAATTAACAGTCTGACATTCAAAACTCAATAGACAAAGCAAAATTCAAAGTGGATTACCTAAATCTGAGAACCATATCACTCTGGTATTCTTAAATTTGAAAGTTCTGCTTTTAGAGAGAGGGGAGAAAAGACAGATTCAGAAGAACTTTGATGAATAGAAACGTGTGTGGCTGGAAGAAAGAATAGTGAACTGGAAAAAAAACATGAGGGTTTAATGTGGATCTAGGACATTAGAGAGAGTCATATCACTAATAATCTCCACCCATTGGTTCCTAGAATCCTGAGGAAACCAATCAGACAGCAGTCTTCAAGCCCCCACCCCCGAACCCACCAGCATGACTGGCTCAAACCACTTTAATGAACTGATACCATGTTTTGGTCTGACCACCCCCTTCCTAACTCTCTTCTCCTTCCCCAACCTATTTCTATCTCACTTGACATCGCTATGCAAGGCGTAACACGTGTCTTAGTCATCTTACTCGATGCAGCTGTACAACCTCATCCATTGACCTCTATTCCTTGCCTAGTACTCTATGCCTAATCTGAATATTTCTCACCACTTAACATGGGAGGTAGAACTCAAACAGCATCTACGGTCAAAGACAACTCTACTAGCCTTTTAATGAATGTAGCATGCTTTAACCAAATTATCTTGACTGATATTATTTTAAAATTCATAGAATAATTATTTTAGTATTCTGGATTTTTTCTGTCTCTCTAAAATTGGTGTGTATTTTTAATGGCCACCAGAATATATCATTTGGTTTCATATTTCATAGAATCCTTCTTTGTTTGTGTGTCTTGTAAGTATGCATAGATATTGAAGTAGCTATGGCCACTCACTGTCACGCACACAAATACACACTCACATACACACGCACATATTCACGCAAATGTATACCGCAGGTACATACAGTTCCATCGACATAGAAAAAGATGTAAAGGAAGTGATCTGTTTCGCTTTGTTTTTTCTAAAAATCAGAAATTCTACTTCGTATCAGATCGGCAAATTGTATAATCGAGTGATGTGTATGTCTTTTGCGTGTGTGTGTGTGTGTGTTCGCGTTTGTGCGGATACCACCATGTGATATCGTGGTGTGTGTATGTTATACGAGTGTGATATATCGTGAAATATAATCGTTGTAGGTGAAAAATTCGCATTTAAGAAAAAAAACAAGAACTGTGCAAAGCATCATGGAACATGAAGTGAACGTCTGTGTTTTATTAAAAAATGTGTAGCTGCAGAACACACAAGGGTGTTTGGCAACTCGATGTATAGATTTTTAGACAGGATACGTCTACTATATTTTTAAATCACTCTTGGCACATGTCTTCCGTATTGTGTTACTTTTGGCTTCTGTTCATGTTATCCATATTGTTGCACAAGCATCGTGCATTAAATCCATCTCTCTGCTATTCATTCTTTTTTGCTAATGATAGATTTATGTACTACTTATAAATCTTGTCAGTAGTACGCGCCATGCTTGCTATTCCGTCAGATAGTTTCGAACGATGCCACTAACCTTCTTGGCGTTATCCAGTCTTGTTATGTCTTGTTACCGACTTCCTTATCGGGCTGTATCCATTTCTGGAGTGAGTTGATGGTATAAGCGGAACCACTTCTCTCAGTGACAGAGTATGATCCTTCCCACTTCGGATGGAGTTCTCGTGAACATAGCCGTCATCCAACTGTGTACTTACTTTCTGCAAGCTTTATGTGATCTTTGACTTGAAAGGTTTTGCTTTTCATCTTTTCTGTATGTTCATATTTCGCAGCGTCCATCTTCTGTTTATACTTTGCATTCCTGTCTGCTTCTCTCTGTTCTGTTCCCAATCTCCTTGTACTTTAGTCTTGACATGTTCCGTTGTCGTACAGCTGTTGAATAAGGTTGATGAATATTTGGGGTACGCCGTAGTACTCGAGTAGTTTCCAAATTACTTCGCGGTCACCGCTGTCTGTGGAAGGCCTTCTCAAAGACTATAAAGTTGAGATAGAGGTTTGATTGCCAAAATAGAGCAGTAGTGTGTACTAGTGACCAGTTAGAGAGTGCTTACATCGAAACAGTAATACTAGCCAAGCTGAAGTGATCTAGACACCGGACGTCCATTTGGGAGTAATCTCCTCATCAGCGGTTTGTCAGGTTCAGTTCGAATCGGCCGAATCCTGCCTACATTTAAATAGACAAAAGCAGATTCTGCTTTCAGCACAGTTTCATATTTCATGGAGGATTTCATCATGAACTAAAATCAGTTAGAGAACCACTGGAAAACCTGGGAGTACTGGAGAGCTGGTGGCTTTGTTAGCCTAGTTTGGGACTCTTCAGCAGTACGCACCCACACTGAGGCGTTCGAACCCAAGGCCTTCTGGTTACAAGCTCATGATAAAATCCTCCATGCAATCAAGCAAAAAATCCCTACTAAGCAAATACTTGAAAGTTTGATATTTGGAAAAAATCCAAGTTAGTCAGTCAGATAATGATCCCTGCAAAATTAACTGCAGTTTGCTTTTCGATTAATGTAATCAACAAATCATACAGGTAGAACATTATAGGTGTAGCAAGAGATGTGGCACACAATATCTTATGGTGTGTGCAAGGGCTGGGATAATGCCTGGATGTGCTTAGGCGGAAGCATGTGATTGTCTTAAGGAGTCACCTTGGCGAGCCTATGACTTGAAATGTTATCCTGACACAAGGCAGGAGAACAGCGTCAGGAGTAGCTACGTTCCATAGGGTTATCGGTGAACGGAACAGGTCCATACTTACCACGCGGTCGGTTCAGATTCTGGAGCCTATGTACACCATAGGGGTTTGGAGTCAGGGATTTCTTGCTCCCCTAGGTTATAGACGTACCTGAATATCCACCAGTTCGGTTGTAAGTACCAAACGTTCGAATTTGCCCTTCCACTTTTTATGAGAAAAACTCCGGTGGTGCGTGAAGGCAGAGATTAGGACTTATCCTGCAGAGTCTGGCCACATGAGGAGAGTATCTTTAGAGGAAGGCCAAAGTCTACCCACCCACCGTTAGCCGGTGCATCAAGTCGCTTATAATTTATGTTGTCTTCTTAATACATCAGTTTATTTCGTTTCCACAGTCTTTATTTTCTTATTCACACATAAGTTAGCTTATTGAATTATTTTATAAAGACACGCAGATTCCAGACCTTATCCCTAAGTAGATTGATGGATAGGTTGGGTTGATTGATAAGAATAAGATCCATTAACTAAGAGTAGATGGATTGTGTATAGATACACACGAAATCAGATAGTAGTCATGCGTGTGTGTGTATTTGTGTTTGTGTGTGTTCAGACTGAATGAAAACACCACACTGACACAGAATTTTTAAATCATGTGGTCTTCACGTTAGTTCATTTATTCAAACAACTTTATTCAATAGTTTCAACAAAAGTAGGCTCTAACAGTTGATTGGTTGGTGGTTAATCTCTTCATAAATTGTCGTGTCAACAACCAGTGTGAATGAGGAGTGTATATCACAGTCGAATGTAAGACGCAGGTTATACCTGTCAATTGGAGACTTAACCCTGCGTGGTTAAGCAAAGGTCAAACAAAATCCATTCATAGCGCTATTCTGTCTCATCTTGTGGAGACAGAACACAAGATTGACGTCAACCATGCTTTCAGGGTCATTTACCGCATACTTACGAATCTGAATTTTGCCTTAAGAGTTCGACTATTAAATATTGCTGAGGCCGGCTGTCGGGATCCATATTACCAAGCCTAATTTATGCATCCAAAAGAAGTTAGTTCAAACATTATCATTACCTTGGCCATCGAGGTTTGAATGATCCTGAATTTTTGTGGAATTTCCCTAATTTTAGTTGATATTCTATTTTTAATAATATTATAATTTAAGGATCTTTAATGAACTGTAATTGCATTGTGATCTTACTTTACAAATCCATATTATTTAAAACGCACACTAATATTGTTATTAACTACTAGTCTAGAATATTCTATGTATATAAACATACAGATATCTAATTGTAGAGCCAGAAGAGGAGTTTATCGAAAAGAATATTCTTTGCTCGATTATTTTGTGTTTTACAATTGGAGACTTGTCAACTGGATGTTGGTTGAGTGATGATGTTTCTCTCCCTCTCTCTCTCTCTCCTATTGAGAGATTCAAATCTGGCATTCATCGATTCAGATGCCAAAGCAACTGTTGATTAGCTCCAGGCTACTAATTAACTTATATTCACCTGAATTCTACTCTTGTTATCGTCAACATTTTCTGGTCTAATTATTCATTATTTTTCTTATTCCAGTGCTCCGAATCACTTCACTGAGGAATGGTTACAAAAATTCAATTACGAAGCTGGAATTAATTGGCGACTCAAGGTTAGTAAGCGAACAAATGACCAGGAATGGGATATTTTGTCTCTCTTATAAGCCATTGTATATATACTATATATATATATATATATATATATATATATATCTTGAGAGGGGTTCAGTTGGTAGGATTCTCACCAGGTGACTTTGAAATTGTCAGTATGGAAGCCTTCTGTACTAAACACAAGGAATAAGATGCGAATCTTCAACACGAATGTGAAATCAGTGCTTTTATTCAGGTCAAAGACTTGTTGCGTCACAGGAGGCATTTTTAACAGACTGCAAACTTTTATACACAACTGCCTTATCTAGCTCGATACTAAAGGTTCGATGGCCGGCCAGAAAGGATTAGCAAGCAGCAAGGAACTCTGTGGATAAGCTAACTGGCAACTACGCAGAAGGAGACGAAAAGGATATACGCGGAGTAAATCGTTGAATGAAACGTTAATGGGTGTAGCCTATGAGTTGGCCGTCCTAGGGTGATGGTGACATGGAAGAGATTCTATGAGGTGGAAATTAAAGCTTCTGCATACTTTCTACAAAGTTATTTTCCCTTCACAACAGCACGTTTCGGCCTTTCACTTGTAAGCCTATTATCCAGCCAGCATTGAAATACAATTTGTGCATGTCGTATATGTTTGTATGTGAATGTCATATCTTCACCCGTTGACAGATTCTGGAACATAGGCATACTTACCGGCGGTGCCCAACAATCGTTATATTTCTTGATTTGAAAGCGGGATTCGATTCCATCGACCGAGATGTTTGGCTGTGAAGGGAATGCCGAGAAAATACAATGCACTGATCAAGACACCACTTGAACTCATGCAGTCAGCCAGCCAGGTGAGAGCCCATTGGGGTAGTCATCTTAAGTGGTGACAACCAGTGATGTCCGTCAGCAAGGAATGCACACTGTCCCCATTTCTATTTAATTTCATCAAAGATGTACTAATGAACTTAAACCTAACTGACTTCAGTGACTCAGTGATTGACTTGTTATCAGGGAGGAAATAACGTCGTTGACTTAGAATATGCAGATGATATATTCCTTCCTAGGTGAGGTGAAGCCTCTGACAAAATGTAGAGTCTTCTGAACACCTTGAGCGGCAATCTTCAATTGTTTGGCTTGCTGCGATTCTCCTCTGTTGCATGGAAGGTGATGCTACATGACTGGACTACATTGACTCCTAGCTTAAAGGTAGTCGGGAGTGAAGTAATTGGTGGAGCGTGTTGACCACTTCACTTATTAGGGCAGTTGCATCATCCAGCCCCAATGGGTTGATCGCTGAGGAAATCTCAGCACGGATATAGAAGGCTAGTTTCGCATGTGCCACAAAGCAAGCGAAGAGATTAGTTAAAGAGAGAGATTCGTCACGTCAAAAGGGAGATAATAAGCCTAAGTTTGAGTGAGGGAAAAAGAATAGTAATATAGAAGAACAATAGAATTTTATTGCATACTATAAGTCACAAAGAGTGAATTCATCTGTTCCAGACATCACCGAGAACGATGAATTTGAGCCATATCACCGATTGTCTCCAATCTTCATTGGTGTTCTTGCCATCCCGAGGACCCCAACCCCGAGGTAGGCAGGAAGTCTACACTTCCCTGTCTGTTGTGGATTTCATCGCCTGACAAAGCCTGTTTTGGTTTGACCTAAGTTTGATTTGAATTCGATCCAATAATTGTCTTCCTACTCATCAATTGAAATTATCGTCAACCTACTTTTGTATTGAATGGATTGGTGGTCGTTGATTACTTCAGATGACTACCTGCTATCATTATTATTATTATCATTATTACTATTATTATTGTGTTTATTTCCTACTTCCTTTCATAATCCAGGTCAGTAATCTGAAGAAAGTACTGAAGGCTGTTATCGATTTTTTAACTGAGGTACGTTAATTGTATTTGTTGAATTCCCGTGATTATGGGTTCATTATCATCTTATTTACTATACATGCTGTTGCCCTCCAACCTCCACTCCTCACTTATGTGTCTGAGCGTGTGTACATGTGTGTTTGTTTGTTGAAGTAGGTTGATTGGAACACTCTAAATATATCATGTAGATATTATTATTATTATATCGCATGGAGGATACTTACTTAAAATACTTAAAAATATTATTATATCCTTTAATTCTTAGAGGAACATAGGGCTTCAGCCGCGCGTCTCCATTGTGTTCAGTTTTCTGCCAACTTTTTCACCCTTCTCCAAGTGTGCCCACATGCCTTCATCCCCTCTTCGCATCACCTCCTCCAAGTCACCCTTGCACTGACGACAGACTTGCCGCTTCCCTTTCGGGTTCCACTCGAGCGATGGCTTGTCTAGTGATGTCACTTGGTGGTTTCCTCAGCGTATGGCCAATCCATCTTCATTTCCTCCTGCCTATTTGTTGCAGAGTTGGTTCCTACTGGGTTGGTTCGTTCATTGGCAGAGATCCCTGTTGTTGATCTTTTCTGGCCGGCCATCTGATCTTAAGTAGTAGTGAGCGAGGACAGCTAGCTGTTGATGAGGGTCTGTAGTTTGTTTGAGATGCTGCTTATGACGCACCAGGTCTCTGATCCGTAAAGTAGTACTGACTTCACATTGGAGTTGAAAATCCGGATCTTATTTTTGATTCTGAGTGCTATTGACCTCCATACAGACTTGATAGTAATGAAAGCTTGTCTTGCTTTCCTGATCCTTGCTTTGATATCCTCGTCAGTTCCGTTCACCTGTAGTTGAAACGATGCTTCCCAGGTAGGTAAAGGAGGTTGTGTCGTTCAGATTCCTCCCATTTATGCTGATTGTTGTCTGTTGTTGCTGGTGTTGACCAGGAATCTTCATCACCTACCTCTGTCTTCTCTATGTTCACCTGAAGTCCTATCTTTGATGCTTCTTCTGTCACCAACTTGTTGCCTTTCACTTGCATATCTTCCAATTTGTGGGAAATCAGACATATGTCATCGGCGAAGTCCGGATCCTGAAAGTTTTTCGTGTGGGTCCATTTTATGCCTGTTTCCTCGTTACCCACTGTCTGTCGCATTATCCAATCTACTGTAATCAGGAAAATCATTGGCAATAGTAGACAGCCAGCTTGTCTTACTCCCATCTTCACTTCGGAGGATTCCGTAAGTTTCCCGTTGTGGATTACTTGGCATGGAGCATCGTCGTGTAACTGTCGGATGAGATGTATAATTGTCGATGGGATCCCGTAGGAGCGAAGTTGTTGCCAAATGACCTATCGATCGACGCTGTCGAAGGCCTTTTCAAAGTCGATGACGTTGAGATAGAGAGGCGACTGCCATTCTAAGCTTTGTTCAGTGATGATGCGTAGAGGGGGCGATTTGATCAATGCATGACTTGTTTCTGCTGAATCCAGCTCTTTCCGGTCGAAGTATGATATGATGTATATTATTTATTTTTATATATTTTTTAAAATTGTGATTACATCTTGATTCCACAACGTATTTAGGTACACAACTATGGAATTTTCAGCCTGCGACATCGGTAGCCCAAATTTATCAGGCCGATCATTGATTTCAGGTGTACGTCGGCCAGGGATCGAACCCCCCAGACCATGTGCATGGTTGGCGAGCGTTCTAACCGCTCTATCACCGACACACACTTAAGGGTATATATGTAATAAGGCGTATCTAAAGACAACGGGGAAATAGACATAAAATTATTTCTGAGTGTGAACAAACACCAAGTTCCCGTAATTTTCAGTCTGAGTATTGATTTATATTCTTCAGTTTTCAGCCTTCCTGACTTTAATTTACTAATCATTAGGACCACCCTATTATTGTTATTATTATGGGGAGGGTATCATGTTTTCGGACACACCCTAGAGTATGGAATAATGGTGTTAATTTTGTCTTAAGTGGTTTGACTTTTTATCATCTTTTGATTTGTGCGTGAATTTTTTATATAACTGAAGTGTATGTAAACTGTGTTGAAGAGTTAATTGGTGGAGAGTGACTACCATTGGAATCCAGAATGCAAGTTTCATCCTGTTCGGAACCCGTCATATGGATGTACCTGCATTCTCCAGTGAGTAATGGTGTTCCCACCGAGGCTCAAACCCACTGCTCATAGTTTGAAACGCCAAACCGTTATCCACTAGACAACTTGGGCTACAAGAGCCACCAGCTCTTGTGCAACTGGATTCCACTGGTAGTCACCATACATCAATTAACTTGTAATTACATGCCCAGATATCGTTAAACCATCTGCACAAGTTGCCGATATGTCAACCTGAGACCGAACACTTCGGTTCAATCAATCGATGGAAAAATCTAAAAATTGAATTCAGTAACGTGTTGAAGGGTGTTCATGAATAACGTGATCAAGGTGTAAACTGTTTCATCCTCATGTGAAACTCTTCAACAGTAATACACACCCATGACTGACTGACTGACTGACTCTATCAACCGTGGATCGAACCCATATGGCCTTTAGGCAACGAGGCGAACTAATTGACCATTCAGCCGAATGGGGGAGATAGAATCAAATGGCGCATTAATTCTGTTTGCTCTGAATTCCCTGCCCACAGGTCTTTGATTTCCAGTGGTTTCAATCAATTCGAGGATAAACTTGAAAGAAATCAACTGCCCTACAAACTAATAGCTGCAAATTAATCCGAGGGTGACCAGTGACTGGCTACAGGACGAAGTTACCTGGAGTTCTGGAGGGTAGTTATGATTATTGTGTGTGTGGGGGGGGTGTTCCGTCGGGCGTTGGCTCTGAAAATATTGCGAGTCGATAGTGGTTGAATTGTCGATGAGGTCGCTTCATAACTTGAAGATCCTGAGTCTGACCCCTAGTAGAGTCATTGGTACGCACAGATGAATCCCAAAGTAGGACTAAACATCTATTCAGTAGGATATTTTACACAGTGATGATATGTCAATATATATGTAAAACTTGGGCACTGTGGTAGTATGTAATTCCATATTAGTTTGTTTATTAGATATATCACAGTAAGTGAGACAGTATTATTATTTACTGGATGACATCATTTCGAACAAAATTTATTATTGTTCATAATCATATGATCAAGGTGTAACTACACAACTTCAAAACTTTCATTGTATGGTTTTCTTTGTTCTTTGCGGGGAGTGCAGCTATGCCTGACTTCCACAGTATTTGAATTCCTAGGGAAAATAGACAAACAAATTGAGGAAGTTGTTAGAGGGTCACCAATATCCCCGGTTGTGGCAGATATATTCATAAATAGGTGGGAAAACATATTGATTGAAATGTTCAACCCCACCCCCCTCCTAAAAGTCTAGTGGAGGTATGTACATGACACAATCGCTACACTTAGAACACAGGATATCGATAGGTTTTTTGAACACATTAACTCAAAGGTGTAGGGAATTCAATTCACTAATGAATTGGAAAGTCAGGAACGGGAGCTTCCAATGTTAGATTGTAGCGTAAAAAGGAAAGAAGATGGGAAATTAAACACTGGTGTTTACAGGAAACCCACACGTTCAAACAGATATTTGAACTTTCGTTCATCCCATCATATGTCAGTAAAAATAGAATTGGTGAAATTTGTAAGTATTAGGGCACAAAAACTAAGTAGTACCAAGGAAAATCTAAGACAGGAAGTGAGGCACATAAGAGAAGCTTTGAAACTTAATAGTTACCTTGATAAATTAGTCAGAAAGTATGTAGGGAAATGTAAAAATAAAAATAAGATAAATAATGATAGTAGTGATAGTGATAATAGAAAACGGTAATATTAATGATGACAAGCATGTCAAACGTGCACAGGATAATGACAACTCCAACAATAAGGAATATAAGTCATCAGTAGTAATTCCATACAAGGAAGGAACCTCGGAATCCTTACTCAGAATTCCTAACAAGGCAGGAATAAAAGTGGTATTGAAACCCATCAACTCAACTAGATACAAGCTTTGTCGGTTAAAGAATCCTGTGCAGCTGCCCATTGAAAAAAACAATCCAGTTTATCTAACACCCAGCTGGAATGATTGTCAGGTCAAATACATAGATCAAAGTAGTAGAATAGGTGCAGTCAGTCAGACTAGCGGAGCACAGTAGCCTAGGAAAATATAGATTGGTTGACCCGAATAAGATAAGAAATCTGGAGAATAGTTCAGATATAGCATTCATTTAACTCATTTAACCTCGCCAGATACTAGCTTGCTAGGCTACTAGCTTACTAGTTTTCTCGCCGGTCCCAAGCCCGGGTAAAGAGGGAGGGTTGGGGCGTGGTGCTAGCAACTCCACCCCTGTAAAACAACCAAATCGCTACAGAAACTTCAACGAATAAATATATTAAAAATTCTAAAAACATAAGCAATAGCCTTACTTTTCGCTGGAATCGGGGAAGTGAAATGACGCAGGCTGGTGAAAGCCTTCGGGAAGCCAGTCAGCCGATGTGCCTTCTTTCGATGAAAGCAAAAGTAAGGATGGGTACCTGGAATGTTCGTACAATGTACGAAACTGGAAAGGCTGCCCAGATAGCCGCTGAAATGAGAAGGTACAGAATAGAAGTGTTGGGAATCTGCGAAAGCAGATGGAACGGAACTGGAAGGTGCCAACTACCTACTGGAGAGACAGTAATCTATTCCGGCCACCTAGAGGACAACCATGAGCACACCGAGGGAGTGGCCATCATGATGTCACCAACAGCAACCAAAGCTCTCATGCAGTGGGAACCAATCTCCTCCAGGATAATGACAGCCAGGTTCAACTCAAAAGGAAGGAAAGTTACAGTCATTCAATGTTATGCGCCTACAAACGTCTCAGAACAAGAGAAGAAGGAGGCGTTCTACAGACAACTACAAGCAATAATGGACAACGTCCCAAATGGCGATATCAAAATCCTGATGGGCGACATGAATGCGAAGCTGGGACGAGACAACACAGGAAGAGAA